TATATGAAATGAGGGCTGCCAAAACATTCATAAGCAAGCCCGTTCCAACAATAAAAGGACAAGGACAGCTAGATACTGTAAAAACTCCTCTATATCACTTAGGATTTGCTGTAGTGTCAGTCTAACTTGTTTGGGGATTCTTTTTTTCCTAAAGCAAAGTAGACATTTTTCTACAAACAAGAAAAATTCTAGAACGGGGTCAGCAACCTTTCAGAAGTGAAGACTCAGCACACCATTTATTCACTCTAATTTAAGGTTTTGCACGCCAGTAATAATTTTCAAGTTTTTAGAAGGTCTCTTTCTATAAGTCTTTAATATACAACTAAACTATTGTTGTATGTAAAGTAAATAAGGTTTTTAAAACGTTTAAGAAGCTTCATTTAAAATTAAATTAAAATGCAGAGCCCCCCGGTCTGGTGGCCAGGACCCAGGCAGTGTGAGTGCCACTGAAAATCAGCTGGCATGCCGCCTTTGACATGTGTGCCACAGGTTGCCTACCCCGTGCTAGAACAATGAAGAAAATAGCTTTTTTTAACTTAGAAGAACAGTACTCAAAACTCTGGTGAAGTATTAAGGTACCTTTCATGCTAGAAGTTAAGTACTGTACATTAAGAATATTGCATTTATTGAAAATCAGGATATTTCACCTAAATTAGAGGCTAAAAGAGGTTTACATGCAGCTCTTATTTACTAGCATTACAGTCCATTTTTATTGCAATTGCTAAATAATTAAACTGAATAATAGCAAAGGCCATCACAATATGTACTATCTAAGTTTGACACCAGAGCTATGTCTATGCTAGAAGTTTTACAAAAATTTCCCCCATTGCTGTTATTATACAGATCTATTGGTGGCAGCAACACTGGAAACCCTAGGACAGTGGTTCTCAAACTTTTGTACTGGTGACCCCTTTCACATAGCAAGCCTCTGAGTGAGAAATTAAAAACAAACACTTTTTTTATATAGTTAACACCATTATAAATGCTGGAGGAAAAGCGGGGTTTGGGGTGGAGGATGACAGCTCGCAACCCCCGTGTAATAACCTCATGACCCCCTGAGGGGTCCTGACCCCCAGTTTGAGAACCCCTACCCTAGGACAAGACTCCCCACAGGCAATAGTGTTTAATATCTTATCGAACCCTATTCAAAACAGATCTGACACAGTATTTACAATACCAACATTCACCTGATTCCTTGTCTATGCTAGCTTTCCTATTAGTTTCAGAGTAGCAGCTGTGTTAGTCTGTATTCTCAAAAACAAAAGGAGGACTTGTGGCACCTTAGAGACTAACACATTTATTTGAGCATAAGCTTTCGTGAGCTACAGCCTACTTCATCGGATGCCTTCCTTGTTTTAGAGGAAGCAGCATGGGCAGAGACTTGAGTGTTTCCATATGGATGGATGGAGATACGGTTGGGCTGGGGGCTGGCTGGAGGAGCCCAACCACCGATAACCTTGCAAGCTGCTTAGCCTTTTTGGGTGATGGGAGGTGCATTGATTCCAGGGATGGAGAACTCTGCTGGGGACTCCCACCCCTTCATAAACACTCTAGGAATGGGAGCTCCCATTCGAGCGCTGCGTGGGGGGTTTCTTTAGACAGCACCGCTGCTCGCTATTGCTCTACGGTGCGTGACGGTGAGCAAAGGGTTTGGGGCGGCTGAGAGTTGGTCTGCATCTCGCTAAGGAGCCTTGGTGCCTGTTCCAGCACATGAGGCTGATTGTGTCCAACAGTGCGATGCCTGAAGGGCCAGGGGGAAACATAACCACCATTTCCACCACAGCCTTCAGCTGGTGATTCTTGAAGGCTGGTAGGGTAGGTGGTGTGGAAGGAGCCATGTTCCCTCGAGCAAAGGATGCTGTAGGGTACAGGTGGCCAAAGAGCAGCCTGCATGTGTCGCACCACTGTGCCCATCTGAGTGGCAGTGAAGTGAAGTGAGCTGTAGCTCAAGAAAGCTTATGCTCAAATAAATTTGTTAGTCTCTAAGGTGCCACAAGTACTCCTTTTCTTTTTTCCTATCAGTGTTATCAATCATGGGAAATTCTCCTTACTCAACACACACCTCAAAAAAAAAAAACAAAAAACAAAACACTAGTGTTGAAAAGTCCTCGACTCTTTTTTCATTGAGAATACATTCTACACCTCTATTTACTCTTTTAAAAAAAGTTTAAATCACAGAACACCTCTATACTAACCATGCCCTAATGAAAATACATTATGTAAACACTAATGTTAAGTCAGAGAAAAAAAGAAACACTGAATCCTCCTCCCACCCTTAATTATGGTTGAGAAGACTAATATTTTGATAAGGCATTAAAGGCAAAAAGATAGCTTATTTTACAGTCTGCATAGTCATTTTACCTTAAACATCACATAAGCTTGCTTCACAAAAACTACAACACTCAATGAAGACTCAAAATAAAATAATTGATTATAAATAAAGAGGTAACATATTGTCCACTGTATATTATGCAAACTATGCAATAGTTTAAAGTATTCCTATGAAAAATTAATCAGGATACTGCATCCTTTAATAACCATTTGGAATATCATTTGAAGCATTTATTGCCTGGAGTGATTTCCAAGCCTTGTACTGAGGACACTAATGTTGCTAACTTGCTAATAGATAGTAGTCTACACTGCAGTCTTCTCCACTTTCCCCTTTGAGCAACACAGACAGAATGAAGCATCAGCACAAACAAATATATCACCACAACACTGACCATGAATCATAGGTGTTTAGGTATTACAACAAATCCTGCTACTATTCTGACATTTCAAAAAGGAACTTACCTTATTTCCTATCCAGTATAAAATGATAATAAAAGAAACCAAATGCTCTGAGAAAATCCTAAATGCAACAAGAAATCTATCCAACTCTAATAAAAGACATATGGAAAAACAATGAGACCTCTTCTGTAGATTACCAGTTGAAAACAGCTTCCCCCCTTCACTCTTTAATTTTGCTCTTTTCATCACAGATTCACAACTGAGCAGCATTATCATCCTCTTACAGAGGTATGATTTGTCTAAAGCTGTAGCACAATTTGGGAACAGTTAAAATATCTGTCAGTCTTAGCTAGGTTGCAAGCCCAAACCTTGTATTAACCGTGTTGGAAGATCAAAATGTTGTAACCAGGTGTCTAATATGGTGGATTTTATAGTGCATATGGTGCCACAACGCTGAGTGTTTTGCTTTACAAGGCCATACGACCTTTTGTAACAATAACCAAATGAAAAGATACATTAAGAAAAACTTAATACAAAGCAATTTAGTGCTCACAAAACCAAGCACTACAGATACCTAAGACAAGATGCAAATCTGCACCTATATAAACGGCAGATTTTTACAGGTGCTGAGCACCTGCAAATCTCACTGTCTTCAATGGAAAGCTTTGCAGTTAGCAGAAGGTGAGGGTACTCAGAACCTCTGAAAATCAGAACATTTATTTAGGTACCTATTTCTAAAGTATTTACTTAGCTAAATATTGATTTAGGTGTCTAACTTTAGACACCCAACTTCAAAAATCTTGGCCTCTGTGCCCAGTTCACTATTTTCAGGCATCTTACACTCCCTTCCCCATCAGAGGCCCTGAGCCCCAACATACCCCTCCCCTAATAAAAGCTGCCAATGGCACCAACACAGGACAATGGGGTGGGGGAGAAGGGAGCAAAGAAAACACACAGGGCATAACCCCACCCTTCTGAAATGCATAGTCTTATTCACTCCACCCCAATAAAGACTGGTCTGCTCTGTCTGGGGGAGTCACAAGGCATACATGCAAGAGACCCAGCAACATCAAGGGTGCAGCTAAAGACACTACACTTATCGGTGTGGCAATGGTCGATATTATAAAAGAGGACTGAAGAGAGGAGGAACACAGAAGCTGAAAAACCCGCCTAAGGGAGAAAGAGACAGGGGGCGCAGTGGTAGGTCAGGTTCCCCGCTCCCATTGTGGGATGCAGGAACGGGACGAAAGGAACGGCAGTGTCAGGGGTATATCCCCGCACCCGGGGGGACACAGGGACGAGGGGACGGCAGCGGAGCTGTCCTCCCCCACCCGGGGGAGGGGCTGCGGGGGAAGGCGCATGGTGGGGCTGTCCTCCCCCACTAGGGGGGGATGCAAGGGCGGGGGAGGGGGCATGGTGGGGCTGTCCTCCCCCACCCGGGGGGGGTGGGATGCAGGGGCGGGGCTGCCCCCCGCCAGGGACGCAGGAAAGAGAAAGCTGGGCGGGCCACGGGGGGGGGCAATGGCGGGGCGTGCCCCGCGCGGGATGTGGGGGGGGGGGGTTTCTTAGGTCCCCTCAGCGGTGGCCGATCTCTCACCTGGGTGTCGGGGACGCGGCGCATCCCTCAGCTCACACCCCGCCGAGCGGGCAGCTCCCCGCTGCCCTAGCCGCTCGCTCGGAGACACTGGCAGGGAGGTCGCTCTCCCGGCTCCTCCGCCACCGGCTCCGGCTCCCGCCCGCCCTGGCTCGCACAGATACTGCGCGTCTCGCACTGCCCAACTGGCCTGCGCGCGATACACACCGCGCGCGTTCCCGGCAGATGCGCGGACCCGCGCCCAGCCCGCGCGGCCACGCTACTCAGACACGCCCCCGGCCGCGCCCCCGACACTCCCCTGAGGCCACTGGATCCGACACTCCCCCAGAGCCTCGAGAGAACACGCCCCCTACCAGCTCAGGTCCCGCTCTTCAGTCACGCTCCTCTCTAGCCATCTGCGGCTTCCGCGCTCTCTTTCTGCGCCTGCGCAGTAGCTTAATGCGTCGCTTTCGTTACCTCATTTGGAGCCCTATGCTAATTAGCACCCTTTGGGGGCGGGGCTAGTTTGACCCCTCCTTCCCGTGTCCACACTACGGGCGTTGTACATCGCAATGCCGGTTTACGACAGTGTTTTTTCTACCTTTACGGCTGTTATTAGCAACCAAATTGACAGGGGCCGGCTGGCGGGGGACTGTCTCGGTTAGCTGGTGCCCGAGCTATGAGGTGGCAGGTGAGGCGCGGCGGTGTGGGGAGGGTTCCTCCCTGGCGTGGGTCGGGCCCGCTCTGGCTCCTCACCGGGGGTTCGAGCCCCACACATTGTCTTCAGGGGGTAAAGCCCGCCCTCCTGCTGGAGCCCCCGTCACCCCCTCGGGTCTGCACACTACTCGCCACCGCAGCATCTGAGCCGGGTGGGGGGTTCCCCACGCTGCCTCGCGGAGAAGCGCTTGTGCGGGCCGTGCGGGCAGGAGGGGCCGGTGCCTGCTGCACCCCGCGGGGAGAGCTGCCTGCCTTGGACAGACCGCGCGTGTTTCTGTCCTCCCAGGAGCATCTTCGAGCGAGAAGCACCCCCGTCTCCGTTACCCCATAAACTAGCTAGCCCCGCCACACCCCTGTGTGCCCTGCCTGAGCCTTCCCCGTGGGCTTTGCAGCATGACCCGCCCGCAGTCTACAGCTTCGGGTTCTTTCAGTTCAAAGGGGGATCTGCCCGCATTAGCTCGTAGGAGATGTAGGGCGAGGGGAGTCTGAGGAACCGCATTCTCTTAGGGTTTGGCCCCTATCTGCTGGTGAGTTACCAGCTAGGGGGATATAGGCAGCTTATGACCACACCTGCCTTGTGATAAGGCCACACAAGCCGCTTATGCAGCCCAACACTTAACTCCACAAAACAGCTGGATGGGAGAGGAGGAGCAGCTGTTTTATCATCTTTAGCGCAGTGGTTAAACTTCGAGCATTCACGTGGGGATGCATGTGGTAGACCCCAGGCTTAAGCCCCTCCTCTGCCTGACAAGGAGAAGTGAACAGGAATCTGCCACCTCACAGAAGGGATGGATCAATAGAGCTCCTGTTATAGAGGGAGTTGGGGCAGAAACAAGATTATTTTTAGGTCTTGTTAGGGAGGCATAGCAAAGCTGTGATACAAGTTTATCTATGAAGCCCCAGGAAGAGGGCCAGAAAGGATTTGGGGACTCCACACACAAGGGTGAAGAGCTGAATGGCCTTCAGACCTCAGAAGAGGAGACATATTTAAAACACCAATTGTGTGGCATTTGATTCTTCAAAAGAAGGGAAACTGCGGCATAGCAGCATACCCAGTCAGAGAGGTACAGCAATCCTGTGACAGTCTCTTATCGTCTAATATTATATAACTACATTTGTAAATGGTCAGAGTATACCATCTAAAAACACTGAGATCAGCTATGTCCCCTGATAGCTATGTTATCATGTCAGTTACAGTGGATAATATTTTTAAAAGATCAGACAACATAGTGCCCAAAGCAATTCTTATGACTGAATTCCACCATACGGAATGGTATTTTTTTTTCAGGAGGAAGATGCACACTTTGGTTTTAAGTATGTTCTTGATTTAGGCCTTTTGAATAAATGCTGCTTGAAAAATAAGTGAATAGTGATCCACTTTGCTTTTATACTTAAGTTCCAGATTCTTATTTTATCTGAAGTGATTTTTTTCCCCTTCTCTTCCCCTTTTTCCCCAAAGCTTCATCTCCACCAGATCAGATTGCTGTACTCCGCTGATCTCACATCTTTCTCCCTGCCCCCCACCCTTGAGTCAAATATAAGCCCATGGCTGCAGTCCTAGCCTGTGTAAATTTTATTTAGGTTCAAAGGCTTTTTATTGCCATATAAGCTTTTGAAGCGAAGTAGAATTCTAAGGCTTGCTTAATTGATATGTAAATACCAAAAATGCTATTCCATCTTGCAGCTGGAGTGGGCTGATCTCTGAGCTTTGATAACAAACTGGAAGGCTTAGGCATTGTCTGTGGATGCAGTCTTTTCTGAATGTAGGCATGAGAAAAATTTTAACAGTTCTCACAACTTCTACCATCTAGAACCTAACTGAAGCCCTGCAACATTCGACTTAGCCTGCAGTGCATAACCTTTAATTGACAAGTTAGTTATTAGTTTTTGGTAAATAATAATCATACTTCTTGTAAGGGGAGGGTGAGTAAACCTCGTGCTTCGGCTGGTAAGTTTTCATAACTTTGGAAGGATGTTTTATTGTGCTGGAATTAAATAATAGAACATAGTAGGCAGCTCTGACATATATGAAGATGTAGATTAAATTAACAGTGTTCTGCAAACAACAGTTTGGTGTTAGTCATGCTAGTAGTCCAGGACAATCAATGACAAAGTAGAAATCAATATCCCATCAGATTTCAATACCATTGAAAATTAGACTTTGACTTGGTAGTGCATGACATTTAGATTTAAAAAAATCAGAAAGAGATCTCAAATGAACATGACACATTACAATTACATCAGTTAGCTAGTTTTTAATCCATTTTATCAAATGTAATTGTAAATGAGGAATCATCATTGAATGGATGTGTTCCTCTGGTGAAATCCTGCAGGGATTTGTTCTTGGTCCTATGCTATTTAACGTTAATGACCTGGAAGAAAACAATCACTGTAAGTTTGCAGATGACACAGAAATTGGGGGGAGTGATAATTAATGAAGACAGGTCACTGATACAGAGAGATCTGGATTGCCTGGTAAACCAGACACAGGAAAACAATATGCATTTTAATGCGTATACATCAAGGAACAAAGAATGTAGGCCATACTTACAGGCTAGGGGACTCCATCCAGGGAAGCAGTGACTTTGATTTGCGGGTCATGGTGGATAGTCAGTTGAACATGAGAGCCCAGTGTGATGCTATGCCCAAAAGAGAGAATGCAATTCTTGGATGTATAAACAAGGAAATGTTTAGTGGGAGTAGAGAGGTTACTTTACTTCTGTAAAGCACTTGTGTGACTGCTGCTGGAATACTGTCCAGTTCTGGTGCCAACAGTTCAAGAATGATGTTGACAGATTGGAGAGGGTTCATAGAAGAGCCACGAGAATGCTTTCTAATCCTCTAATCACACGCCTTATAGTGATAGGTTGAGCTCCTTGAGTCTATCTAGCATAAAGAGAAGGTTGAGGGGTGACTTGATTACAGACCATAAGTACTTATGGTGAACAAATGTTAATAATGAGCTCCTCAGTCTAGCAGAGAAAGGTATAACACAATCCAATAGCTGAAAGATGAAGCTAGACAAATTAAGATGGGAAATAAGGCACATTTTTAACAGATAAATTAACCATTGGAACAATGTGGTGGAATCTCCATTTTAAATCAAGATTGGACGATTTTCTAAAAAATCTGATGTAGGAATTATTTTGAGGAAGTCTTCTGGCCTGAGTCATATAGGAGGTCAGACTAGATCGGGGTGGGCAAACTACGGCCCAGGGGCCGCTTCCAGCCTTTCAGACATTTTATTCCGGCACTTGAGCTCCTGCTGGGGAGCGGGGTCCAGGGCTTGCCCCACTCCGTGCAGCTCCCGGAAGCAGCAGCATGTCCACCCTCAGGCTCCTAAACGGTGGGGCAGCCAGGGGGGCTCTGCCCACTGTCCCCACCCTAAGTGCCACTCCCACAGCTCCCATTGGCCAGGAACTGCAGCCAATAGGAGCTGCAGGGGTGGTGCCCATGGACGGGGGAGTGCACAGTATAGCCTCCTGTCTGTGCTCTGCATAGGAGATGGAGAGGGGAAGGGATAGCTCAGTGGTTTGAGCTTTGGCCTGCTAAACCCAGGGTAGTGAGCTCAATCCTTGAGGGGGCCATTTAGGGATATGGGGCAAAAATTGGGGATTGGTCCTGCTTTGAGCAGGGGGTTGGACTAGATGACCTCCTGAGGTCCCTTCCAACCCTATGATTCTATGAGGGGGGACATGCTGCTGCTTCCAGGAGCTGCTTGAAGTAAGCACCGGCCGGAGGCTGCACCCAACCCCCTGCCACAGCCCTGATCCCCCCCTCCACACTCCTCGGTCCCAGCCCGGAGCATCCTCCTGCATCCCCAACTCCTCATCCCCAGCTCCACCCCCAAACTCACACCCCTAGCTGGATCCCTCACACCACCACTGCCTGCACCCCTGCCTGGAGCCCCCTCCTGCACCCTGAACTCATTTCTGGCCCCACCCCAGAGCCCGTACTCCCAGCCAGAACCCTCACCTCCTCCCACACCCCAACCCCCAATTTCATGAGCATTCATGACCCACCATACAGTTTCCATACCCAGATGTGGCCCTCGGGCCAAAAAGTTTGCCCACCCCTGAACTAAATGATCACAGGGTACATCTAAACCTCAATAAAAAGACCTGTGGCATGGCTATAGCTAGCCCTTGTGGGACTTAGGCAGCAGGGTTAAAAATGGCAATGTAGTTATTCAGACGTGGGCTGGAGCTTGGCCTCTTAAATCCTGTGAGGGGAGTAGGTCTTAGAGCCCAGGCTCCAGTCCAGGCCCTAGTGTCTACACTGCTATTTTTAGCCTCACAGTCTGAGCCCTATGAGCTCCAGTCAGTTGACCTCAGCTCTGAGACTTAGGGTATGTCTTCACTACCTGTCAGATAGATGGGTAGCGATCAATCCAGCCGGGATCGATTTATCACATCTAGTCTAGATGCGATAAATCGATCCCTGAGCGCTCTCCCATTGACTCCTGTACTCCAGCTCCGCGAGAGGCGCAGGCAGAGTCGACAGGGGAGCAGCAGCAGTCTACTCACCGTGGTGAAGACAGCATGGTAAGTTGATCTAAATACGTCGACTTCAGCTATGTTATTCACGTAGCTGAAGCTGGGTAACTTAGATCGATTTCCCCCCCATCCTCCAGTGTAGACCAGGGCTTAGTGCCATAAGTTTTGTACTGAAGTGTAGATGACCCTCAGTGGTCTCTTCTGGGCCTGGAATCTATGAAAAAGCACTGACACGCTATCAAAAACTACATCATTTAGAAGGATGGCACTGTGGTTAAATTGTGGGGCTGAGAGGAGGGTTTAGATTCCCATCTCTGCCAAAGACTTCCTATACGACCTTGGACAAATCATTTACCATCTCTGTTCCTCAGTGTTTCTAATGTTTGGGTAATATCTTCCTCTGCTGGCTTTTGGGCTTTCTCCAAATTTTGTAGATTTGTTAAAGGGGCACAATAAACAACATATTTTAAAATATTCTGTCCATATGTTCTTAACATATTATTAAAACAGAAGTGTAACAAAATCTGATTCACTCTTCACCATTTGTTCTTTTTTGCTCAGGTTAGATGATAAAAACAAACTTTCACTTTTTCTGTGTCAGTTTGTAGTCAGTTTCACTTCCTGGTTCTCATGCACTAGCACAGTGTGGCACAGTTTGTGTTCACAACTTCAAAAAGACTTCATTTATGTTTCATGAAAATAATTCAGGTTTTGCAAAATCTTAGTAAAACATCACCACCACCCTAAATTTTGGCTTCAAAGGGACACCATTAACTTAAGAATCACACTTTGTCTTAGTTTTTTTACTTGTTATTAGTAGCACTTAAGATTGCAATAACTGAGATGTGACAGAAAAAAAGAACATAGCATATCAATGTGGTAATTCAGTCATCTTAATGCAAGGTACCACAGTAACCTTTTAAATTACTGAACCATCTGGACAACTTCAGAAGTGGGACTTCATAGAATAAACCCACGTACTAATATAAAAGTCAAATTTCTATTTAAATTACTTTCCTCTGTCCCCAAATACTCTGGATCTTCAACTTCCACTCAGAAAGAAGGCATGCCCATCTGCCATTGTTTCAAAACCAATACCTAGTTCCTTTATCCAGCAGGGAGGCAAAGAAGTATATTTTGCTTTCACAAGTTCAGCCAGCTACTTGACAAAAAAACAAAGAGCATTACTCTTGTTCATAATCTTGATTACTGCTGTAGTCCTCGTTGTAGCCAATCAGTATTTCTTCTAAAATATTAGGGGTTTTGGATGAGGTGTGCTAGAGATTCTCTACAAAGAGTAAGTCAGATCTGTAACTGAGAGTTCAAAAAGACTCCCCTTAAGATATGGGGGAAGTTCTGATTGGAATTTTGTGACTTGGACTTGAAGAAGTTTGAATCCAAATCCAAACTTCACACAGAGTTCATCTTTAGTTTTAATTGGAAGGTTCTGTTTCACAGAGGAAAAACTGCACTTTCCAAATTGGCTCTACTGTTTGTGGTGCAGTATGTACCACTTATGCTGAGTGGCTCTGGAATGAATGTGAGTCTGTGAAGTGTTCTCCTTTAAGCTCTGCAGTACATCTGGTGAGTCTTCATGCAGCTCTTACAAGCAGCTCCAGATGGCAATAAAATTAAAAGTAGTAGCTAGTAGCAATTAAGTGTTGTTCATTATAATCAGGAAGAGAGAGTGCTTGTGGGAAGCCACCAAATTATTTACTTTAAAAAAAAAAAAGGAAAGCCAAGTTTCACTGGGAGGAAAAAGAACAAAGTTCAGAATGCAAGCTTCATCATGCAACCATTAATCCTTGCAAGGCTTGATTGGCAAGTTTGCTGTTCTAATCTGCATGTCTCTGGGAAAAGATGAAGCACACATCTGAGAAGTTTCTCATTAGGAGACTGGCCCAAGACATCCCACTTTTAGACTGTATTGCGAGGTATAGACCTGTTTATCCAGAATTTCAGCTAAGTGAGAGTTTGGGAGTTTTGGAGACTTAATGCATTCTCCATGTTTTCTCTACTGTCCTAAGCTCCAGGTTGTTCCATTGTACTTGCTCCTTACATTTGGAAATAATGGATCTGAGTCCAAACTAACATGTGAAATGGTCCTAGATACCATTGTGTCTGGCTCGGTAGAAATAATAATGGCTGCTCCCTTTCCTTTTTAATGACTATTTCTATTTGACCTGTGTTGGAGCTGTCAGTGGCACATTAGTAGTTATGAGCTTTTAAAGGTAAGATATTTCATCTTGGGCCTTCCTTCCTATATATTACACATCCAACCTGTTTCATACAGGTTACCTTGGATCTTCCTTCCGGTATATTACACATTTGACATGCATGTCATTGTTATTCTATTTAATAAGCTTTCTTTGGCAAAGTCACATGTTAAAGGGACCCTGCCAAGATTTGATAGATTAATTTTAGGCTTATCTTAATTTACATGTTTCTAGCCTAGGAAAGGCTTGTTTTGTTGCCATGAGGAAGAGTCCAAATCCATTCCTTCCTAATGTGTAAACAAACCATGCTCCAGCTGTTTTCTATCATAATGGATAGGTGTTGCCTTGGTTACAGTGAATCATACTAAAGTGACACTTACTAATTTTTGAGACTAACAAATTTAGCTCACGAAAGTTTATGCTCAAATAAATTTGTTAGTCTCTAAGGTGCCACAAGTCCCCCTTTTCTTTTTGCAAATACAGAGTAACACGGCTGCTACTCTGAAACCTATTGTTAATTTTTACACAGCACATTGGAAGTATAGGGCCAGATCCTGGCTTGCTTCCGTGCTGCACATGGCATGGCTCAGGAGCATGTGGGGGTAAAAGAGATTTAAAGTCACCTTTACAATTCCCTGATTCTGGGGCCATCAATCTGTCAGCCTAGTACCCAGCATTACGTAGAGCAGCTTCAGAGCAGCCTGTGGACTCCAGCATGTTTTAGCAGTTGAGGATCACCAGGCATGGACATGCTTGGGCCAGGGGAGGAAATACAAAGGCATAGAAGTCACTGTCAGCCCCATACTACTGAACAATTTCCCTCAGCATGGGGAATCTTCTACTGGGCAAATCCTAATCTGGGCTTGAAAGTGCAGCCAGTGCTGCTTATTTACTATTAACTAGCTCTTTTCCGTCCTTGTGTTTGATACTTTTTTAAAAATATTTTTAAAAATACAGAGTTTTAAAAATCTGATTTTAAAGTCTGACTTCATTTTTATTAAGTATACTGTCTAACTAATGTGCATTTCACTTACCTTGGACATTAGATTGGTCAATTTCACCTTTGTTAGTCAGTTTCACACCTCAGTTCTTATGCTCTAACCCAGAGGTTCTCAATCTTTTTCTGTACCAGGACTAACCCAGTATCTCCTTCCTATTTTGCAATAAGGGAAGGGTGGGGTGGTCATAACTACCTGCTGAGTTGTGATTCACCCCATGGTGAGAATACATACATGTACACAATGCTTTTGTGTTTAGGTTTCCAACATTACGGGGGAAATTTAAATCCCCAAACAGCTGTTGAATTCCATTTTTTTTTAAATAAAACCTTCATTTGGGACCTGAATCTCTTTTTAGGTCAGGTATTTGGGGGCAGTGTAGGGTTATTCAGTTGTTTTTATTTGCCTGCTGAAGCAAGGAGGGGTAAATAGATACCTAGAACTGTCCAGAGAAGAATCTCAACATGAGCTAACTGTTGAGGTAGGCCACTCTTTAGAGCAACCATCCTTAATTTTTTTTGCAACACCTCTTCCTTATGATTAGTCAGGAGGCCAGTAAACAGTATAACTACTAAATCCTTTCTCTTTGAGCAGAAGTTTGTCAAGCGAGGATTTCAGCTGGGGTTAATGCACATACATACTTGATATAGGTTTACACAGTCCAGGAAGTTAACAAAGTTGCTAAATTGGGTCCTAAGGAGTGCTTTCATGTGGGGGAGTTTTATCATGTTAGTAATCTTGTTTTTCTTTAGTGTATTCCTACCATTATAGGCAGCTGCCTTTCCATCATGCTGGAAGACCAGCATTTTTGTGTGGATCAAGTGGTTCTTCTGATATGATGAGCCATGCATCCATCTGTCTATCTTAGGTACCTATCTGGTCCCATCACCATAGTGTCCAATCACCTCATGATCTTGAATGTGTTTATTCTCACAACAGCCCTGGGAGGTAGAGAATTACTGTTTATCCCCATTTTACAGGTGAGGTAGAGAGCGACCAAGTGATTTGCCCAAGATTACACAGAGTCCTTGTGGCAAAGCAGGAATTGAACCCACATCCCCCCCAGCCCAGACTAGCATTCCAACCATTGAACCATCTTTCCTCTCCAATGTATTATTGAGAACACAGCAATGCAGTTTCTAGCATTAGCCTGGGGATCCAGGAGGCCCCATGCAGTCTCCATCACACATCACTGGGTAGGGGGAATGTACTTGCAAACCACCCTTCTCTCTCCCTTTTTACATTTCTTGAAATGTGATAGATTGTTTAACCCTTGTTCCTTAATTACAGGTGGGGAAAATCCCTTAGTTTTCACAACTCAATGTCAGATATAGTTGCTTCTTCACAGTATAAAAGCCTATGTGCAGCCTATTTGCATAGTAACTTATCTTATCCCCTTTGGTTTATCTTAGCTTTTGACCTTTCTTGGAGTGCTGTGGCCCCTGCCTGTGCAGAATGGACCCTGTTGTTCTGAGTTATGTGGACAGTTTGCTGAGGCAGTCGGATGTTTCCCTGCTGGATCCCCCCAGCTGGCTTAATGACCACATCATTGGGTTTGCCTTTGAGTACTTTTCTAGTGACCAGTTCCAAGACTTTTCCGAACAAGTATGCTTTGTCAGCCCTGAAGTGGCTCAGTTCATCAAGTGTGCCACCAGCCAGGATGAGGTAGCCATGTTCCTGAAGCCGCTGGGCCTCCCGCACAAGGAGGTTGTGTTCCTGGCCATCAATGATAACTCCAACCAGGCTGCTGGGGGCACCCATTGGAGCCTCTTGGTTTACTTCCGGGACAAAAACTGCTTTGCTCATTATGACTCCCACAGTAAGAGCAACTCTGCCCATGCCAAGCTGGTGGCAGGAAAGCTGGAGGCATTTCTGGGAAAAAGCGGAGACAAAGTGGCCTTCATAGAGGAGAAGGCCCCTGCACAGCAGAACAGCTATGACTGTGGAATGTATGTGATCTGTAACACAGAGGCTCTGTGTCAGGGATATTTTAGGGGACAGCAGGAACCAGTACTGCAGCTCCTCACTCCTCCTTATATCACACGGAAGAGGGCAGAATGGAAAGCTCTCATTGCCAAACTTGCACGCAAATGACTTAAATGTAATTGTCCCTGCTTCGAACAACTACCTGTCCAGTCCTCTAGTCTCCACCCCCAGTGCCTGAGGGAAGATATCCATGAACAGGATTTCTCCACAGAAAGAATGTAACCCCTCCAGCATGGCTACACCCTGCACTACCCCAGCTGAAAAGCCTTAGTTTCCTCTACAACCCACTAGCCTTCAGACTTAAGTACTGGTAACATCACTTTTTGTGTTCAGCAGAACCCTCTTAAAGGAAGTTTTATTACTTCAAGCACTTTTCTGGCTATAACAAACTAGGTTGGTGAAGATTCCTCTCACCCCCACAGTAAGCAATGAGCCCTCACTGTATGATTTTTAATTTTCTATGGACATTGCTAGTCTAAATCTAATCTGGTTCAGTGATATCCATCTTACATACACAGGCCTAATTTTAAAAGGACACCTCTGATTTGTCCCTGCCTTTAATTGTGGTTCCAAGTTATAGGATTTAGGGGTCTAGCTACACAATTCTGCCCAAAAATTTGATATTGAGATATCCATATCTTGTGATCTGAGAGTGCAAAATCAGAAGTAATGGTGCAGGTTATTTAAAGGTGCTTCAAAAGGTAAGACGCAGAAAAGTTATTTTTGCTCTCTTTTGCTGCTTTACATCCTGTATAACGAAGGCCTGAATTTTTCTTGTTTTCATATTAGAAATACACTTTTTTTTTATATCCTGGATGATTGAACCACTGGATAGTTTTCAAGATAGTAGAAGAGTGACAAAACAAGTACTAAGAACGTGAAACCTGATTGAGGTGGAAAGTGTTTTAAACAGTGAATAAAGGTTATTTTCATCAACACACACTTTGTACAAATATCATACAAAAAGTTGGGGGGAAAGCCTCCGATTCCAAACCTCTACCCCTTCCAGTCAAGTTTTAAGACAACTCAGAATACGCATGAGACTGCCAACAACTTCTCTCGCAAAACCCCCAAAAACAGACTTTACATTTCTGATATTTCTAATGTAAAAAAGAAAAAAGCCTTTGACTTTCTCATATATAATAAAAATCAGTACAGGGGGAAAAAAAGTATAGTGTCTGATTTTTCAGTAGTGCTGACATCAATGGTAGCTGCAACTCTTCTGAAAAATCAAGCTGTTAATCCTTAGTATACTTGTCTATCATACCAAATATAAGTGGTTAAGAACGAGGGGGGATTTGATAGCTGCTTTCAACTACCTGAAAGGAGGTTCCAAAGAGGATGGCTTTAGACTGTTCTCAGCAGTAGTAGATGACAGAACAAGGAGTAATGGTCTCAAGTTGCAGTTTGGGAGGTTTAGGAAAAACTTTTTCACTAGGAAAGTGGCGAAGCACTGGAATGGGTTACCTAGAAAGGTGGTGGAATCTCCTTCCTTAGAGATTTTTAAGGTCAGGCTTGACAAAGCCCTGGCTGGGATGATTTAGTTGGGGATTGGTCCTGCTTTGAACAGAGGGTTGGACTAGATGACCTCCTGAGGTCCCTTCCAACCATGATATTCTATGACTCTATGAATTCAAAATAGAAAAGCTTTTGCTGCAGCACTGGATTACATCTGGATCCAAGAAAGTAGGGCCCATTGTCAGGAGAAGGGGATGTTGATGGAAGAGTGAGATGTCAGTGTAAAATGAAGTAGTATGAATATGTAACCAACAGCCTCACTGGAGACAGTGGGCCAGATCCTTAGCCTTTGTAAAACAGCACAGCTCCATTGATTTCAACAGCACAACCCTGATTCATACCAAATGAGCATCTGGCCCAATCAATTCTTCCAAAATGCCCAGTCAAATAAACAGAAGTGATTGTGGGATTGGGAGGAGGGGAGTTAAAGATCGTAATGTAATGATCCTTGTTAGACTTTCCAGTGCTGACAGAAGGGAGGATTTGCCTCTGGCTCTCTGCTTTCTCTTTATCTTCTTGAGTACATGGGAAAAGTCAGTTCCACTGACCTGTGTCTGAAATCCTTGGAGCTGTCTGACAAAATAGGGTTGTTGAGTCACTTTATGCTAAGTGCATTGCCCAGCTGAACACAACATTCTGCACTGCTTGGACAGCCTCCCACTGTGGGTCAGAGGCAGGACAGTGGGTTGGTCACTATAAGGTACTGTAATTTGCTTGTTTTTCTCCCCATTCCTATTTGTTGCCCCTGCTGCTACCAAGAAGTAACTAACACACACATCCCCACTCATTTGCCCTGCAGCACTGAGGTGCAGACACTTACTTCTAATATCCATTGCAGATTAGCTGCTCAGTTAATACAGAGAAATACTTCTGTCTGTGATGTGATATCAGCATTAGGCCAGGGAGAATGCTTTTCCAGCTTTGATCATTACAGTATATGATAGAAGGGGGAAATAAATCAATCCACCTCCGACTCCCTCCTCCCAGGCAGATGTGTCACTTGGAGAATCCAGTACCAAGAATAAAGAAAGATACCAATTAAAAAAGCAAGTGTTTTCTGTTTTGTAGAATTGGGTTTGTTGTTTGATGGGTTACATTTTCAAAATGATTGGGGTGAGGAGCAAGGGGAGGGAGGGTGTTCCTACATCATGTTATCCAGTAATAATAATGCCTTCCTCTTATCTAGCTCTTTTCATCAGAGTAATGGGATTACAGCATAGAGAGATTTCAGAGTAACAGCCGTGTTAGTCTGTATTCGCAAAAAGAAAAGGAGTACTTGTGGCACCTTAGAGACTAACCAATTTATTTGAGCATAAGCAATGAAGTGAGCTGTAGCTCACGAAAGCTTATGCTCAAATAAATTGGTTAGTCTCTAAGGTGCCACAAGTACTCCTTTTCTTTTAGCATAGAGAGAGGAGAAGTTGCTGTTGCCACCCTTTGCTAAGCAGCCCAAAAGCAACATAATTTCTGTATATTGGATAGTTTCTCTTTTACAGTTGACTGCATGATTCACAAGCAGATTCATACTACGTTTTGGCACCATGAGGAGATGGTGAGCCATGTGTCACGGAAAGTTGGAACGGACCTGAAGTTTAGTAAATGGAATAGATTAAGGGGATGGCCATAAAAAAAATCCAGCAAAAATCAGGAGGCATGGAAATTAACTCCTGTTAAACCATGTATGATATAGCAGGGGGGAAAATATTTTCAGGCTTTATTGTCTCTTCTTTGCATCCCTTATGCTCAATGGCTGCTGCACAGCAAAAGACAGCTGCAGGATAGTTTCTCATAAATGAGTAAAGATTGGTCATGAGATCGAACTAATGTTTGAAATGGGAGGGGGGATGCATTGCTGCTTGGGGATGGGAGGAGAAGTTTTTGGTCAATACTTGTTATTTAGCAGAGCTGTAAAATAGCTAGGTGGCCTAGATTTGTGGTTCAGCTGAACCCAGCTCTACAGGATAAAGGCCCGATCCTACAAGGTTCTGTGTGCCCTCAATTTCCACTAAAAGTATTTCAGTGGAATGGTCATTTGGCTGTGCTTTCATTATTTATCCACACTAAAACAGCCTCAGCTGAGGGAGGCCCCCATCCCCCATTCAAGTATCTCATAGCTCATTGGTTATTGCGCTTTCCTGAGAAGTGAGAGAGTCCAGTTTGAATCCTTTTTCTCCTTCTAGCAGAGAGGAGGAATTGAATGTGGATCTCCCACATCCCCAGGCAGTTGCTCTAACCACTAGGCTAAAAGTTATAAGGTGGGCACCTCTTCCTCATGGGTTTTGAATGGTACCTGATGTGGTCAGCATGCTCAGAAGCTGTCGATTGGCTTGGGTCCCAATCTAGGCAGCTGAACACCTAGCTGCCTGCCCCTGCTTCATGAATCTCAATGCGTCTGGGGTGAGAGAGAGACATCTGGATGTCTAGAGAGGGAAGTAGTAACATGCATGCCCTGGGGTCTAAAATTTGGTGCCTGTGAAACTTTTACAGTGAAAAGTTAGGCACCGGGTGAGTTTAGGTGCCTGTAGCTAAGCAGGGTTGCATGCCTCGCAGTGGTGCCGTGTGGAAGACGAAGGCACCTAACTCTGGAGTTCAGGCACTGAAATTGCTTCATGGCTCTTGCTCAGACTGCCTGAGCTGGTGGGAAGGGAGCAGTGGAGGAAGTGCTAAGCACTGAAGCCCTTAAGGTGGAATTTCTTTACACAAGGAAAAGCAAATACATTGAAGTACCAAGGGCGGCAACAGGCTCAGTAAGAATAAACAGTGTGAAGGGGGAGTTAGACAAATACTTCCCTGCTGATAAACAAACCTAACAGGCAGTGTAACTGTGTCACAGCTCAAAGAAAGGTATGAACCCACCTTGGGCTACTTGCCCCTTTATCTTCCTCAAAGCTTCCTGTGTAACATGCTGGCAACCTGCAAGCCCCAGGTAGGCAATGAGCTGGCACCCAACCTGACAGGAGGGGGTCTAATCTGAGCTTTCTGTCTGTGCCTTGTTTTATATCAGAAATACAAATGCTGTTTTTAACCATTTAAACAACCCTGCCCCCACGCACAAACCTCTACCAAAAATTCAAAGGTGCCTTTGCAGCTGCACCTCTTGCCTGAATTGTGAGAGGCAGCCCAGAATTCTGAACAAGGCAAAACAATGTGGTTACAGCAGAGTTCAGCTCAGCAGGAGAGAGCTGCAGGCCTGGGCTGCTTTCTGAGAGGATTTGTTCACCTACCAAATTAGCTGCATTTGTAGCAGCACAAGTAGGGAGCTCCCTAATGGTGTATGGGGTAATGATGGATCACCCTCCATGGATGGGAGCAGAAGCAGTTATAGGGAGCAGTGAATCACAGGTTTAGATGGGACATAGAGTAAAGATGGTAATTTTAGTGGAACAAATCTAATTTTTAAAAGGGCTGCCCTGCTGTGCACCAGCATATGTTTGAAAAAACGTCTAGTTCTGTCCCGTGGTTTGTAGATGGCAGGAGTGCAGATGAGCGCTGCAGGGAAACCTTTCCTAATGCAGAGAAGCCTAGGGAGGAGCCCGGAATCTCTTGCCTCCATATGTTAATTTAGCTATTTGATTTTGCATAGAGTCACTGGGGGCCTAAAAACCTGGCAGCCACTCCTCAATGGATGGGTTTCATAAATGCACTGAGAGCTTCCTTCAGTTTGTAAACATTTGTCAGCTCTCATACCATATGGCAACTGTTCCCCTACTGGAGAAGCTCTCCCACCTTTTCTCTGATCTGTGCAGGAAGCTGTTTCGTGAAGCATTAGTTCCTTGCAGAAAACTGCAGAGAGGTTCACCCAACCCTTGCCCAGTGCTGATTTTCTCAGTAGGTTGTTAAGGCCCAATCTGTAATCAACACCAGATATGGTGTCACTTGTGATCTTTACATAATGCTTTGTCTAGCCTCAAACACTCAATTACAATATACTTGCTGCACAAGAAAAACCTGTCCTGTCCTCCCACCGTGGGTAAGTATTGTAGAGTTTAAGCAAGGGTAGTGTTCAGGGGGGATTGCTGTCTTAGGTAGGGGTCAATGATACAAGGAGGGGTGAGAACCACTAACCGAGAATGGCCTCCAGAAGTTTGTTTTTCAGGACAGCAAATGGAGCTTAGGGAGAGAGATTCCAGGTCCATGAACATTCAATGACTTTGGTCCATGACTAGGGCACCTAGGTCCTATGTACCTGTTTTCTATTTCAGGTTAGTTCAGGACAGACTTCCACTCAGGGGAGGATTTACCTAGTGTCTTTTCTGTTCTCTCACTTGAAAGGAGAGATTGTCTAATATCTGTGTGAGCATGTGTGTATCCACACACGCCCCTTAAGTAATGAAGAGAAAGAAATAAAGAATACAAGGGTTTAGTTTGTCAGAGTTTGGTTAGCTATCTCTGTAGGAGACGCCTGAAGCCATCAGATTGTGGGTGCATCTAGGGAGTGTATTTCAGGTATCCACAGAGATAGAATTGTGTGCAAGTGCAGTTCAAAAGACTCTAGATCTACAGTTCACCTTAAACTCACGCACTTTTGAAGATGAAATAATCTTACTGAATAATGTTCTCTAAAAATAATTTAGCTGCTTCTCTGCATTCTGAGAGGCTATTTCTGAAATATGTGCTGTATTTCTTGACACACAAAGTACTGGCAAAAAGA